GAAAATGGATACATACTGAGGGTATACTCCTAAGTGAAATAAATAAGTCATACATGTATAAATACCAAATAGTTTCTTGGTGTGAAATACTATAACAATACATATGATCCTAATGATATAATTAACATTGTGAAATAGGAAGAAAGGGCTAAAGGTGTAGGGAAAGTGGGAAGGGTAGGGGAAGGGTAATAAGGGAAAAGAAAAAATGAGAAAATGAAAAAATTTAAATAAAGTGTTTTTAAATGGAGAGGTTAGGAGGGGGTGAAGGGAGGGCAGGGACAAGGGGAACAAATAAGAACCAAGAGCTGTCATGTAAAGGTACAAGATCCCAATAATGAATATAACTGTACTGTCTACCTAAAATGTGCCAATAAACTTAATGAGAGAACAATCAATCAATCAATCAATCATCCAAGTTTGGTGCATTTGGTCACAGAACATTGGTAAAGACAAACTGTAAATGTACCAATTTTTAAAGCTTCCCCTTTCATCTAAGTCAGTTATAGAGGGGGGATGAACAAACTGAGAATCATCATACACACAACAGTTTTGAATTTTAATCTATTTCTAGGCTATCGAAATACCATACGATATTCTCTCCACATGCTGGGCAGCAACAGTGTACACAGCTCCCAGTAAGCCACACAACCACAAAAAGAAAACAATCAATACTCAGTGGTGTAAGCTGTGCTGTTTGGTTATATGTGTTAATGCTTTTGTTTTACTGACTATATTCTCATCTTATGATGAGTTTATTCAGTACAATATATTGTAAGTTACTTTAAATGAAGTTGTATATCTGTAGGTTTTATAAAAAGAGAATTTATGACTATAATTTCTTGGTGAATGAATATAATCAGTTTAAACCTATTAAGTATTAATCTTTAAAATTAAACTTCGTTATACAAAACAACCTAACTATATTTCTTATTTCAAAAATATTTTTGATTTTGTATGACACATATTTAAGTGAGAACATTTTATTTTTTTCCAGTAAGGAACATTTCATTCAATCATTTAAACTGTTATATTTAAATGATTCATTATGTGAGTTTCAAAAACATGTACAATATAATGATCGCTTTCCAACATTAAGATACACCTCCATGATATCTTAAATGTTAGGAAATTATTTAATGCATTTTAAAATAAACTCAGTACTTCAATTTTAAGATTGTATCTTTTATTAGTAGTAGTTATAATTATAAAAATCTCAGTTTCAAAGAAAGCCTATTTTCATTTTAGAATTAATATATATTTTTCAAGGCCATGTATACCTTTAAGGAAGCCATAGTATAGACCCTGGAACTAAATTTGTTATTTTTATAACAAAAGTATATTTTTTGAATTTTGATTAATTTACATATAGACAAGATGCACACTCCATACTTCATGAGACTTAGCTACTGCATCTTTATATGTTACATGAAACATAAACCATAACATAAATTATCAATGCAAGCAAAGGAAATGTTAAAAATTCAATAATAACAAATATTTTCAGCATTAAATGAAATACAAAAATTTATCATAATAAGTAAGGAATCTTTGATCTATTACTTCACAAAAACTCAGAAAACAATAAAGTTAAATTGAAGAACTAGAAAAGAAATACTACTGTAAGTTTTAATAGGATCCTAGTAGAGATAACACAGTAAAGATGATATAAATAAAGAAAATATATTATTCATTTTATAGAAACTTGATTGAATAGAAAGGTAAAGGTAAATAATAATATTTTTTATCTGGGGTCCAGTTCCAGATTAGTTACTAAATTGAGATCTCAAGCAAGTGAATTTTTTTACTTTTCATGAGGTTAACAATCTAAAAAATTGTGTTACCATATCATAAACTAAGAGGACCAATGGAAAACACTTGAGATTATTTTATTTCAGTAAACTATGTCTCTATTTCTATAATCCCTATATATAACATAGATAAGTAGTAATTTTAATAATTTATACATAGTAATCATAACAAATGAATTACATAAACTAATAAGTATGGTACAATGATCACTTAAACCTGAAATATGTGATTCACTGCTATAAAAATCATAATATTGTTTTCTTGTTCATATTTTATTGTTCACAAAAGCTGAATGTATAAAAGGATGACAGACTAGCCCTAAGTTTAGGAAACTTCCTTAAATAAGTTGGCTCTGAAGAACGAAAATCATAATATTGTTTTCTTGTTCATATTTTATTGTTCACAAAAGCTGAATGTACAAAAGGATGACAGACTAGCCCTAAGTTTAGGAAACTTCCTTAAATAAGTTGGCTCTGAAGAACGACTGGCCAGAAGGGAGATCAGAAGGTAAAACAGCTGCATGAAACTGGGCCAAGGAAAGAAAATCTCTGCAGCAGATTGAAAGTCAGCAGCCCGGTGACGAAGGCCAACGTGAGGGAGTACTTTTACTAACAGGAGAGGGAGGGAAGTGCATCCATGAATAAAGAAAAAAGGAGACACAGCAAACATCTAGTTGGGCTTGTTTCTTAAACTGGATGAACTAAGAGATCTACAAAGGTCATATATTTAATAAGTTCACAGCTTTGATAGTGAAACAAGGCTGAATTGTCAGAACTAGACTTGTACAAACCCAGGAGGATTCTAACACAGGTAAATGTAAACAGAAACTTATAAATATTTTTAAATTATTGAAAGTATACCCCATTGAAATACTAGTTTTAGTGCTTTATTTAATGTAAATAATCACATTAAAGTTGATTGTTACTGAGGTTTCATATTTTAATAGTTAATGACGAGTTATTAAGATGTCATCAGAATAAAATGTTTGCTTCTAATTGTAATATAGAACTTTCTTCAAAAACACAAATGTGTAATTATACATACTGACACATAAATCTACATTCATTATAGAAAAATTAGGCCAACACAAATATATGTAGAATGCTGAATTATTCCTATTGCATTAGCTTTACTTACTGCAATGAAATACTAAGGAAGCTGATTTTATGAAGACAAAATTTGTCTACAACACAGTTTGTAGGTTCAAAGGCGAAGATTAAGAAATCCCATTTCTTTAATCTTTGGTAAGGACACCATAATGGCACATAATGGCAGTTGGAGAACTAACACGTCAAATAGGAATAGGAAGGGAAAAGATGGACAAGACCTCTTTGCTCTTTTTGTAATAATCTCCCACAAGAACCTAATGGTGCCACAAGAAGTAACTCACACCCCAGATTTTCTGAGGCCCTCTCACCAGGACACTCCTCCCAGAGGTCTCACCATCCCCCAACAGTGCCACCCTGGGGCCTACCCTTCAGTCAAGCCTTTGGGGGGATCACTCAAACCCCACCCAAACTATAGCACTTTCCAATTCTACTATGCTTCACAAGGCAGTACATATTTTTGGATCATCTTGCTGAGCTCATTCTTATGCATTTAAAAAGATGATGCATGTGCATATATAATATTTATATAATTCTGCAATTGTTCTATTTTTTACTAGCCTCTAAACACTAAATATATGTAAAACACATATATGTAGATAGATAGATAGATAGATAGATAGATAGATAGATAGATAGATAGATAGATAGATAGATGATAGATAGATAGATAAAGCATATCCATAGATAGATAGGTAGATGGAAACATATCCCTCCGAACCAATGCCTAGAATCCCATAAAATAGGCACCACAATGTGTGTTGTCAGTATTCTACTGAAGATATTGGGTTGTTCTAAAACTTCTTACCATTAAATATAATTTCAGAGCTTATGAAACAAATTAATTTTTAATTGCTATCTTCAAGCTAATGGCAAAGCAATGTTGAATAGTTGTTCTTTTATTACTTTAAAGGCATTTTAATCTTTGGAAAACTCTTTTGATTTATTTTTCACTGCTTGACTCTGATTAAATGAAGCTAATTATGAGAGAAAACATTGGGGAAAAACTGTCAAAATATGTAAATTTTCAAAGGGACACATTCTCCAAAGTTCCAGTTAGTTTGCAAGTCATGATCCCGATGAACTACTTTATAAAACCAGTAGTGACACAATGCACAGAGAAAGAGATTGTCATTAGCAGAAGTATATTTGAAGCTCAATGATAACCATGGTTTCTCTGCATGATATTTTTATGTCTTGGGGGCTCTCATCTGTGGAAAATAATAATAGCAATGTTCATCTTTATTTTTTTCTTTGAGGAATAGAAAATGGATACCCTTGACACACAATGTATGTGTTGTATGCCTCTCCATTAAAAAAATCTAAATATATGCCACCTTCCCTACACCTTTAGTCCCTTTCATCCCATTTCACCATTTAAGTAATCTTATTAGGATCTTATGTATTATTTCAGTTTATTCACACCAGAGAAATGTACAAGATCCCAACAATGAATGTAACTGTACTGTATCCCTAAAATGTACCAATAAACTCAATTAAAGATGAAAAAATATAAATATATGAATTTCTATTAACATACCTACTGTACCCCTAGAAAAGAGACAGCTGAAATTGGAAAACTAAAATCTGTCTAGGTACTTCTTTTCCAGTATCTAGAATGGTACCTGGCTTAGGCAAATAATCGTTTCCATCATTGGCTGTCTTAACAGAGAAAACCACAGCTAGACTGTTACTAAATATGGGTACAAGTGAATGGGCCTCAGTGTGTGATCCCCAAATTAGTAATATCTGCTGATGGATTATTGGAAATGCAATTTATGCTGCATCCCAGATCTACTGAGCCAGAAATTCTGGGGTTTAAGCCCGCCATTGTGCATTTCATTGAGTGGCCTGCATAATTTCGATGTTGTGTGCTCAAAGTGGAGACACATTGGTATGCATCTTAGACATTACATACTAAAACTTGAAATGCTATTTATTTCACTAGTAATCTCACACATGGAATATAGGCTGATTGTGTACTTTTAAAATGTCAACTGAAATTATAAACATTGTAATGACAGAAAAATCAACATAGATACAAACATTTCATCCTGCTAGATGATATCTACATTAATCTGTTACCTATGCTGCCTTTGACCCAGGTTTCAGAAATGATATTCTTGCTAAGTGTTTTCAGATGATCATCATTTAGCTGGGAGGCTAAGTCTGGAACTGTCTTCAGCGTCTTCCACACAATGTTATGTTCATGTGTTGTTCTATTAACAGGCCTTAAAAAGAAAGATGTAATTTACAAATGCGAAAACCACAGAATAAATGTAAAGAAGCAAAGCAAAAAATGCTTGTATTCTAAATTTCCAGTATTGTATTTTCTTTTTATTTAAGAGTTGTTTAAGGAGAACTGCAATTGTATTATATTTTAGCTTCCTATTTAGAAATTTCTTTCCTCTCTAATATTAATACACACACATTGATGCAGATAGATAGATAGATGCAGATATCTCCATGATACTTTAAATTTTAATAAGTTACATAATGTCATTGTCTATTTAAAATGGAAAACTCAGAGTTTTAATTGTAAGATTCTATTTTTATTCATAGTAATTATAATGTCCTTTTTATTTTTTTCTCATTGAGTTTATTGGTACATTTTAGGTATACAGTACAGTTACATTCATCATTGGGATCTTGTACCTTTACATTACAGGTCTTGGTTCTCATTTTTTTCCCCTTGTCTCTGCCCTCCCTTCACCCCCTCCTCCCCTCCCCATTTACAAACATTTTATTTCCATTTTTTCATTTTCTTAAATTTTTTTCTTTTCCCTTATTACCTTTCCCCTACCCTTCCCACTTCCCCTACACCTTTAGCCCTTTTCTTCTTATTTCACATTGTCAGTTATATCATTAGGATCTTATGTACCATTGATAGGAAAATGGATACATATTGAGAATATACTCCTAAGTGAAATAAATAACACATGTATAAATACCAAATAGTCTCTCTGGTATAAAAAACTATAATATCCTTTTTGGATATTGAATAAAAATATAAATTCTATTCTCACCATTTATGTTTGATTCTTAATAGTGCTTAAGTATTAGAGTTAGATCAAATGAAGCTGCAACTTACCACAATATAAAGTTTAAGTAAAACAATACATATGCAATTTTAAGTTAAACAATTATCTTAGAATGAATATTTAGCATTACTTTTATAATTGTATTATTATTACTTTGTGTGTGTGTGTGTGTGTGGTACCAGGGATTGAACTCAAGTCCTTGCGCTTGCGAGGCAGGCCACCAAACCACTGAGCTAAATCCTCGGCCCAATAATTGTATTAATTATTGAATAAATAAAACATGATAATCAGGATAAAAACGGCATGTTAACATTAGTTCTCAAATGATTACCTATCTGTTATATGCGCTGTTGCTAAATATCCTACATTTTTCAAGCAAATTTCTAAAATCTGTGAAAAATCAACTTATCAATCTGAAGGAAATTTAGGTGCTCATATCACATGTATGATTTTGCCAGTTACATCCCAGTTTAGACATGTCCTATTTAGTATGTTTGTGCATGTGCTTTTTGTATGATCATATAACCTGAATTTTGTTGTAAATTGTAGTAAAAGTAAAGAAAAGTTTAAACAGCACTAGTTTATATTGAGAAATGGTCTTGAGAAAACAGGCTTTATGTACCATTGTTTAAAAATACATACTTCCAATGTAGCAATAAAGAATTAGTGTCCAAAGTGGTATGGAGTCATAACTAAAACCCAAAATATGTGTCATTGGTTTAACTGCTATTAATTTCCTGCCAGAGGTGGCCAGAAAATATAATTTTTGAGTCAGGATACATTTATTAGTTGCTTGTAATCATTTGGAAGGCAGATCAAGTTCCTCAAGAACTTATTAGCTTATACAATGTAACAAAGAGGCAGAAAGTTATTCTACTTTGAGGTTGCTTACTTGTAGCAATGTATTAAGTCAGTAAATGTGATCACTTGTCAAGCAGAAAGGAAAGAAAATACAAAGGATCCGTAAATGTTGAACAGAATAATAAAAGCCACAGGCTTCTTGACCTTGTGTAACAAGAAAAGTTTTAAAAAGAAGACTTCACGAGTGATGGTATCTCAAGTCTTTTCAGTTAAGTAGAGATGCTTAACCCTATGACAAAGGTCTAATGAAAAGTTGTGGCTTTCCTTCCAAGACTATTGTCCTGAAGACCTGATGGCAGCCTCCATGAGAAGGTGGGAAGGCACAGGGAGAGGAAGCAAGAAATAGAAAAAGAGTTAAAATAATGTCTAGATTATAACCTTGGCTTTGATCATTGCCTTGTAGAGGATACTGGAGACAAATGTATCAGAAGTCTGATATGCTTTTGAAGGATTTATGCCGTTGAAAATAGTATAAATTGCATATTATGGCCTAATAAAAATTTAGCTGATTGAATTTTCAAAACAAAAGAAACTGGAACAGTTCCTACCCTTCAAAGAAAACATAATCTTTTTTTTTTTCAGCTTTAATTGAGTTTATTGGTACATTTTAGGGATACAGCACAGTTACATTCATTGTTGGGATCTTGTACCTGTACATGACAGGTCTTGATTCTCATTTTTTCCCCTTGTCCCTGCCTTCCCTTCATCCCTCCTCCCCTCCCGATCTACGAACACTTTATTTCCATGTTTTCATTATCTCACATTTTTTCTTTTCCCTTATTACCCTTCCCCTACCCATCTCACCTTCCCTACAGCTTTAGCTCCTTTCTTCCCATTTCTAAATGTCAGTAATCTTATTAGGATCTTATGTATTATTGCAGATTATTCACACCAGAGAAACTATTCGGTACTTACACACGTGTGCCTTATTTATTTCACTTAGGAGTATATCTTCAATATGTATGCATTTTCTTATGTTCTTGTTAGATTTGTCCATTCAGGATTAAAAAGAGAGAGAGAGAGAGAGAGAGAGAGAGAGAGAGAGAGAGAGAGAGAGAGAGAGAACCTCACATATAGAGAAGCCAAGAAGTATTCTCGCCAGTAAAACAGATCTACCACCTAATTTTCTAAGAGCAAGGGGCTCAGAAGTGGAAAAAGAGGGGCGGGAGCAAAGGGGATGAAAAGGGGAACTAAGATGACTCCACACAAAGAAGTATTCACCAAGTACCACAAACATGTACTATTACTTCTAGATACTATGACTACTATTACAATCATAATAGTAATAATTTCTGACACTAGTAAGGCAGAGAATTTTACATATCACTCCCTAAAATAACATTTTTGCTATGATTGAATGACTTTAATATATTCCTAGCTTCTCTTTTTCTGAATGAGTTGTTAAAGGTGGGCAGCCTGTCCCTGGCTCTACCATTGTGCACCATGTAAGAGGACAATGACAGACAACCATCTCTCTGGTTTTTATGCTGATCAGTCAGATGGAGAAGAGGAAATGTCACTGAATATCCTCAACTTTGAGGTACAGTAATGGATGGAAGTTTGAATTTTGTCCTTTGATGACAGAATGAAGTGCTACTTGCTAACCACCAAGATCATGTGTGCATATCCATCCATCCATCAATACATACACCAAAATGAATGCAAATATGCATTTGTATCATATATGCACATAATAAAGATATATATTCATGAATGTATGTTTGTGCCTCTCTACATATACAGATATAAACAAGTGCTAATACATTTAGAGTACTTACAATGTATTCTATCACTTATTACCATTTAACAAGCAGAAGAACGAATGCATAAAATAATTCACTCATAGTCTCTTGGGTAGTAAGTAGCAGAACTATGGGGTAGGGGTAAAAACCCAGTCAGTTTGATTCTGGATTACATGTTTGAGAATTTCAACAAATAATCAAAAATGTGTGAATTTTTAGATGCAGAGGCTTTTCCCGGCAGGCAGAGGGGAAGATTGCCTTCTCCATAACGGTCTAGTGCGCAGCCTGGGTGTTGTCGCCTCTGAGGAGGCGGTACCACCGGGTCAGGCTCACATTCACATACGTGCATGTCTACATTCCTCGTGGAAGCACCTCTCCTCGGAGGTATCTTTACCGGAAAACCTTACAGGTATTTCTCTGTATTCTGCCTCGGTCCTCAGTTCTTCCCTACCCCCAGCCCTTTTCTTTGCCCTCACTCCAGCCTTCATAACCATGAAGCAGCGGTAGCCTTTTGTTCGGGGCCCCCTCAGCAATGAGACAACTCTGTTTCTGCTGAGCCCCTTGAGCCTTGCACGGTGCTCCCTTCTGTGGAGCACAGGAAGAGCAGTTGGCACTTTCTACAGCTTTAGACCCTTTCTTACACCACCCATGCTCGAGTTAAAGATGTTCTGTGAGCTTCCATTTGGAATTGTTACTCGACTATTCTGACATGAATTGCTGAGGTTTCTCTCAGATTTCTGCATTTCCTGAATTCCATGAGAATGTTATTAACCACTATCATATGTTAGAACTCAGATTTTATCATTCTGATCTTCTATAATTTCCAATATATCTCCTTAGTCTATACATTTTGAGCGCTATGGTTTAACACATCGACTACAATTATGAATTTCTCTATTACTTCTCAGAATTATATCAACTGCTAGATAATTGGAATCTATATCATGTGCTGAAAACAATCACTGCCTTTACCAGTACCTTAGGTACATCTGCATTCCTTCTGGTGTTTTTTCCACAATTCTGTTTTTTCAGTGATTAGTTTTTATTTAAAACTTTTTTTGGATCATATTTGCCTAATCAAAATTTTACCATATTTTTACTTTAAAATGGTGTGTATCTTGGACTTTTAATGCTGGATTTCCATTAAGAAAACTTAAGTCAAATTTTTTTGCTAATATTAGATATTTCAATTTATGAAATGAGATTTTTTTATTTTATTTAGATATTTACATTGAAATATGTTTTACAGCTTTTAATATAGAAGTCACGTACTTTTTCTTAAATTTATTTCTAAGTACTTTATATTTTGAAGGCATTCTAAATGGTTTTGTCTACTAACTTTCCTTTTTTTTTTTTTTTTTTTTTT